AAACTGACCATGTTTAACTTTAAACATCTATGTTTCTGAGAGCTTAAATATAAAAAATATATATATTTCCTGTCAAAAGCAGAGATGTTTTTCTGTAGCTATTTAATGTGACGGCTGGGCCTACGTGTTTGAACAGAGCAGCTGCATGCATGGCTTTATGTTAGAAACAGCCACTCTCAGATCCTAGGAGTCATGATATGCATTTGTTTTTCATGTATGTCAGCACAGAAAAGGTCTTTTCAGACAAATATATGGATGCAAATGGAAACAGTAGACGAGTTACAGCTTTTGAGAGACCTGCATACTCTGTTGCTACTGACAACCAGAACGCTTCCAGCATGCTTTATGAGAAAACGGTCTGATTCGGGATCAGAGGCGACATTGAGCAGGGCATTCTGCTGCTCTGATGACAGGGGAAAGGGGGTGAAAGGCCTATCCAGTCGTTCTTTTATAGCAAGTCATTATTCGGGAAGTACTTATTGAAACTATCAAGCAGGCTCCTGAGGAGGGGCAATCATTTGCTTGATAGTTTGAATGGTTATGTCATAACTCCATAAGTTCTCAACATTTCCCCCATCCACTCACACAGCCCACCACTCCAGCTTTCTCTTAAATACTGTGACCTTAGCGGACAGTTTCTTTGTTGAAGCCTAGTTACGGCCAACAGCAACTGGATTTGAGTAATAAAATGCTTGTTTTGAGACCAACTGCTCACTGTCCTTCCAATGTCCACTCGGAAGCTACATTATTTATTTGTTTCCCATAATGATTTGGTGACCCCAGAAATCATCTCACGACCTCAACTGGGGCCTGGACCCTTAGGTTGAGAATTGATGGTCTAATTGGCGCTATAGGGATAAAGACTGATATATATTTAAGAAACTCATATTATAACTACCTTAAAATATATTCAGATGGTTCTAAGAATTTAAAAGGATATGTGGGAATAGGAATATATAGATACCAGAGTTTAAAATTTATATTTCTAAAAGAATATCAGATCAACTATCTGTTTTCAAAGCAGAAATGGTGGTAATTATACTAAGCTTACAGTGGGTAGAGGAGGATAGACCAGACAGGGAGAAGGAAATGATAGAAAATATTTAGTATTAGAAATCCAGCACAGTCTATTTAGATTATATATGGGGGCATTGACATTTTGTTATGTTGGGTTTCAGCACATGAAGGTGTAAAAGGCAATGAAAAAGCAGATATGTTAGCAAAAAGGGGCTTTAGAGGGAACAATTATGATTACAATTCCTTTTGGGAAAGGGGAAGGTAAATCACTTATTCAGAGTAAATAAATGGAAAAATGGCAAGAGAGATGGAACGAAGATAATAAAGGGAGAGGATTATATAAGGTACAAAAATCAGTATTAAATAGAATCATTAATGAAAGAAACAGAAGGGAGGAAGTAATAACGTTAAGATTAAGAGTGGATATTTATATTCAATAGGGATAAAAATTAATAATAAATGTGAAGGATGTGGAGAAAAAGAAAATGTAGAACATGTACAGGTGCTGGTCATAAAATTAGAATATCATGAAAAAGTAGATTGATTTCAGTAATTCCATTTAAAAAGTGAAACTTGTATATTATATTCATACATTACATACAAACTCATATATTTCAGATGTTTATTTTGTTTAATTTTGATGATTACAAATGACAACAAATGAAAATCTCAAATTCATCATATCAGAAAATTAGAATATTACTGAAGACCAATAAAAACAAAGGATTTATAGAAATGTTGGCCAACTGAAAAGTATGAACATGAAAAGTATGAGCATGTACAGCACTCAGTATTTAGTTGGGCCTCCTTTGGCCTGTATTACTGCAGCAATGCGGCGTGGCATGGAGTCGATCAGTCTGTGGCACTGCTCAGGTGTTATGATAGCCCAGGTTGCTCTAATAGTGGCTTTTAGCTCTTCTGAATTGTTGGGTCTGGTGTATTGCATCTTCTTCTTCACAATACCCCATAGATTTTCTATGGGGTTAAGGTCAGGAGAGTTTGCTGGCCAATTAAGAACAGGGATACCATGGTCCTTCAACCAGGTACTGGTAGCTTTGGCACTGTGTGCAGGTGCCAAGTCCTGTTGGAAAATGAAATCTGCATCTCCAAAAAGTTGGTCAGCTGCAGGAAGCATGAAGTGCTCTAAAACTTCCTGGTATGTGGCTGCGTTGACCCTGGACCTCAGAAAACACAATGGACCAACACCAGCAGATGACATGGCACCCCAAACCATCACTGACTGTGGAAACTTTACACTGGACTTCAAGCAACGTGGATGAAGTGCCTCTCTTCTTTTCCTCCAGACTCTGGGACCTTGATTTCCAAAGGAAATGCAAAATTTACTTTCATCAGAGAACATGACTTTGGACCACTCACCAGCAGTCCAGTCCTGTTTCTCTTTAGCCCAGGCAAGACGCTTCTGACGCTGTCTGTGGTTCAAGAGTGGCTTGACACAAGGAATGCGACAGCAGAAACCCATGTCTTTCATACGTCTGTGTGTGGTGGTTCTTGAAGCACTCACTCCAGCTGCAGTCCACTCTTTGTGAATCTCCCCCACATTTTTGAATGGGTTTTGTTTCACAATCCTCTCCAGGGTGCGGTTATCTCTCTTGCTTGTACACTTTTTTCGACCACATCTTTTCCTTCCCTTCGCCTCTCTATTAATGTGCTTGGACACTGAGCTCTGTGAACAGCCAGCCTCTTTAGCGATGACCTTTTGTGTCTTGCCCTCCTTGTGCAAGGTGTCGATGGTCGTCTTTTGGACAACTGTCAAGTCAGCAGTCTTCCCCATGATTGTGTAGCCTATAGAACTAGACTGAAAGACCATTTAAAGGCTTTTGCAGGTGGTTTGAGTTAATTAGCTGATTAGAGTGTGGCACCAGGGGCCATCAATTTTGAACCTTTTCACAATATTCTAATTTTCTGATATGATGAATTTGAGATTTTCATTTGTTGTCATTTGTAATCATCAAAATTAAACAAAATAAACATCTGAAATATATGAGTTTGTACAAACCGGATTCCAAAAAAGTTGGGACACTAAACAAATTGTGAATAAAAACTGAATGCAATGATGTGAAGATGGCAAATATCCATATTTTATTCGTAATAGAACAAAGATGACAGCTCAAAAGTTTAATCTGAGTAAATGTAACATTTTCAAGGAAAAATATGTTGATTCAAAATTTCCCAGTGTCTACAGATCCCAAAAAAGTTGGGACAAGTAGCAATAAGTGGCTGGGAAAAGGATATTGAACAAATAAGGAACAGCTGGAAGACAAACTAACACTAATCAGGTCAATTGACAACAGGACTGGGTATAAAAAGAGCCTCTCAGAGTGTCAGTGTCTCTCTGAAGCCAAGATGGTAAGAGGATCACCTATTCCACCATTGCTGCGCAGAAAGATAGTGCAGCAATACCAGAATGGTGTTGCCCAGCGTAAAATAGCAAAGACTTTTAAGTTATCATCATCAACCGTGCATAACATCATCAAAAGATTCAGAGAATCTGGAACAATCGCTGTGCGTAAGGGTCAAGGCCGTAAAACTTTACTTGATGCTCGTGATCTCCGGGCCCTTAAACGTCACTGCACCTCAAACAGGAATGCTACTGTCAAGGAAATAACAGAATGGGCTCAGGAATACTTCCAGAAAGCATTGTCAGTGAACACAATCCGCCGTGCCTTCCGCCGTTGCCAGCTGAAACTCTACAGTGCAAAGAGGAAGCCATTTCTAAGCAAGCTCCACAAGCTCAGGCGTTTGCACTGGGCCAGGGATCATTTAAAATGGAGTGAGGCAAAATGGAAGACTGTTCTGTGGTCAGATGAGTCATGATTTTAAGTTCTTTATGGAACACTGGGACGCCGTGTCATCCGGACCAGAGAGGACAAGGATAACCCAAGCTGTTATCAACGCTCTGTTCAGAAACCTGCATCACTGATGGTATGGGGTTGCATGAGTGCTTGTGGCATGGGCAGCTTGCATGTCTGGAAAGGCATCATAAATGCAGAGACCTATGTTCAGGTTCTAGAACAACATATGCTTCCATCTAGACGTCATCTGTTTCAGGGAAGACCCTGCATTTTTCAACAAGATAATGCCAGACCACATTCTGCAGCAATCACAACATCATGGCTACGTAGGAGAAGGATCCGGGTCCTGAAATGGCCAGCCTGCAGTCCAGATCTTTCACCTATAGAGAACATTTGGCGCATCATAAAGAGGAAGGTGCAACAAAGAAGGCCCAAGACGATTGAACAGTTAGAGGCCTGTATTAGACATGAATGGGAGAGCATTCCTATTTCTAAACTTGAGAAACTGGTCTCCTCTGTCCCCAGACGTCTGTTGAGTGTTGTTAGAAGAAGGGGGGATGCCACACAGTGGTAAAAATGGCCTTGTCCCAACTTTTTTGGAATTTGTTGACGCCATGAAATTTGGAAATAACATATTCTTCCCTTAAAATGATACATTCTCTCAGTTTCAACTTTTGATCTGTGATTTGTGTTCTATTCTGAATAAAATATTTGTTTTTGACACCTCCACATAATTGCATTCAGTTTTTATTCACAATTTGTTTAGTGTCCCAACTTTTTTGGAATCCGGTTTGTATGTAATGTATCAATATAATATACAAGTTTCACTTTTTAAATGGAATTACTGAAATCAATCTACTTTTTCATGATATTCTAATTTTATGACCAGCACCTGTACTGATGAACTGTTAAACTTATGTACATGAAACGGAGAAATTAAGAAGGATGGTTGGAAGAACAGGCAAAGAATGGCATTTTAAAGGAATATTGGAAAATGAAGGAAATATAAAGGATATTCACATATTAAGGAAAGCATTAATTATTTATCTACATAATACAAAAAAAATAAAGAATTTGATGTAAAGTAATGTTGCTACACACTCGTGTACAGTAGATGGCGGTATGCACATTAGAGTTGCTTGCGATGCGCCATAATAGAAAAGAAGAAGAAGAACAAGCAGCAGAGGAAGAAGAAGAAGGTTTGTCGCGCCGTCAGACTTCAAATGAAAACCTTTTGGCTTGAGCCGCTCCTCCTGAAGACCCCCTCATTTCTCCGAAATGTCCAAACTGGAGCAAAGCCACTGTGATGGAAAACGTCCCCCGCCGGTTAAAGTCCTGTCCGGTCAGCTAAGAGCGGCGGGGATCCGGGGGGCCGCTGACAGCGGGGAGGGATACCTGATCAGAGCGGGCAAGGGTCGCACTCTGCGGGTGTCTCTCGTGTGGATGCAGGGCACCGTGCTGGAGGTCCAGCTGTACAGTAACACGGTTCTGCTGATGGACGAGACGGGGACCTTCATGGTCCAGGGCGTTAACAGCATTCCCAAAGGGAAACCATGTTTGCTCCCAGGTAATGATGACCTGATCCTGGTTATATGCAGGGGCGGAACTAGATTGGGTGCCATGGCCACCCTTAGCCAATCATTGGCCCCCCCTACCATTTTTTCCCTATAATACAGACAGTGGCAGCAGTAATACTCTGAAGGAGAAACTTATTAAACATTTACATTTTTCATATACTAACAACTTCTTGACAACAGAAACACTGGTTAATTATGCACATCGATATACAAACATTAAAGATGATAGAAACATAATCCATGCTCTTTTCAGAACAAAATTTGTAATTTTGGGGGGTAAATATAAAATGATGTGCCTCTGCAAGTCATCTAAGAGTCTTCAGTGAAATCATAGAGAAATAACTACTTTAATAATAACATAAAAATTCATTAAATGTGGATATTTGTAGATTCAAATATCATTTTTTTGCAGAATGATTATTCATTAAAGTAGGTAATGACAATGTAAAATATGTTTGCCCCAGAAAGAATTTTTTTCCAATATACCTTTTATTTACACAAAGGATAAAGGATAGTTTATCTTTATTTAGAAAATATGGATGTTGTGGTGATTCCTGTTGGAACAGTGTAGATTCCCCCTGAGGTTCTGGTGCCTTTCGGCCCCCCCTCAATGTACATTGGTTATTGACTGGCCAACCCTATTATGATTTTCTGGCTCCGCCTCTGATTGTATGATGTGGTACATTTGGTTAAACAAGAGCAGCACGTAACTTAAGAAAGAAATCGACCTAAAATGGGGTACATAATTAATTTATTTGCTTATATGCCACCTTTTTTTGTAAAAATTAAATTGTCTATTTGAAAATAAACATGTTTTAATGTCGTTTTAGCGAATCACTCCGACATAGATTAGTCTTTACTGTTTACATCCGAAGTAGAGAGAAACAGACAGAGAAAATCTGGAAGAGTAAGGAGGCAAACAAATCTAAGCAGTTTGAGATGCAGAAATCTCCCTCAGTGGTGATTGAGCGAGCAGTGTTGGTCCATTATATTTATCCTGTCAGCAAAACCATCTACCTGGAAGCTGTGTAATAATTTAAATTCTGCTGACAGCAGGGCTGCCAACGTTTCACCAAACCTTGGAGTGAGAGTTTTGAAATAGTTTGGACAGGAAACCCTTGACACAGTTAGATTAAAAGGCTTTGAGGACAGGTGCAGCTATAGGTTGGAGGTTTTCAGAGGATTTAACTGAAATATATTTTCATATTTGCGCAGAACTGCTTTTGGTTGATCATAAAGCCAGCCGTATGTTCGGAAAAGTAGCTTGAGGCAAAGAAAAGGCTAGAGAATGGGAAAATGCTAATTTCAACAAAAGTTGCTGGTTATCGAGGTATTGCAGCCTGCGGCGGTAAAGATGAAGGAATTTGCCATATATATATATGATAGTCATGGATACTTGTTGATGGCATTAAAATTATTTCTAAGAGCATTAAAAAGCATTAAATTAGTCATCCCTGTATAAACCCTGCTATTCTTACCAGAGGCGTAGCCAGAACATTTTTATAAGGGTGGCCAGGCAATAACCAATATACATTGAAGGGTGGCCGAAAGCGGATCGGCACCAGAACCTTAGGGTCAATCTATGCTGATCCAACAGGAAAATGATCAACCACAACTTCCATATTTTCCAAATAAAGACAAACTATACTTTCTTACAGCCTTTTGCTAACAAATAGACGCATACATTTAAACATCCATCTAGATAAAAGTCCCTGTGGATAAAGTTCTTTCAGGTTTGAGTTCTGGGTTGAACATCTTTTTGTTAGAGAGTCAGCAAATGTGTAACACGTGATCAACACAACCAAAAGCTGCATCTGTTTCTGTACATTAAAGCTTCTTCCAGTGATTCCATTTTAACCAGCTGATGCTGTTGCAGGTAAATATGTAATGGTGATGGGCGTCATCCAGGCCGTTTCCCCGGAGCCAGTTATCCGCGCTGTGAAGATGGCAGACCTCTCAGAGTTTGCTGCACTCCACAGGAAAATGTGGAAGTTGGAGGTGGAGGAGCTGCAGCAGATACTGGCATGAATCCTGGGCTGATTATGTGGACTTCTGACGTACAACTACGGGTACAGAGCAACTTAGAAGTTCCCACATCTCCAATGTTCTGTATCAAGTTTGTAAATATTTTTATTGGAAGGGATGTATATTTAAACTTCATAAAACTGTTTTCAAATAAAAGATAAAAGTATTTTATTTGTTGGGTGCCTTTCATACCAGTAACACTATAAATAAAAAGAGAACTTGTTTTGTAACATTCCAACCTGTTATTGTTGATCAATGTTAGATGATGAATCTGCACAAAATTGAGAAAATAAATGTATTTTAAAAAAAAGCTGAACTTGACATGTTCATATGTATCCACCCTCCTACTCTAAAGCCCTAAGAGTTTGGATACAACCAAACTTTAGAGGAGTTATACAATTAATAAAGTCCAGCAGTATGAAAGTCACATCTGTCAGATTAAACCTGCCTTTTCTAATAGGCCCCAAAGGCTGCAAAACATCTAAGCATGAAGCATCACAGACAAGACCAAGGAGCTTTTTCAAATGCCAGCAAGTTTTTGCCATCCTCCAGAATGGCAAAATAAAAATCACAAACCAGACAGGGGGGGGCATTAACCAGAGAGGCACAGACCAAAGAGATCCACTGCAGTATCTGGCCACATAAGCTGGGCTTTATGGAAGAGTGACAATGAAAAAAAAAAAAAATCTAATTCTTGGTGCTAAAGTTGTATCTATGAGAACGCTTGGAGGATAGTGCTATAGTTAGGTGAGATTAAAATGCATCTTCTCAGCAATTAAGGGAGATCTCTGTCCTGATCCAGTTATTACCAAGGAAGAAAAGAAAACATGGAGGAGGCAAAATCATGCTGGGTTGTGCTTCATCAGCAGGAACTGCTGGAAAATACAGATATTGTGAAGCAATCTCCCCAGTTTAGACTGTCTGGATCAGCTCTGAAATCCACACCTACTGTAATCTATGACAGCATTCACAGTGCCTCCAGTGCAGCCGCATGAGGACGGTTATCAGGCAAAAGCAGATCAGAATCCATTTTTGCCAGATGCTGGTAAGTCTACACAAATGACACTAAAAATAAATTGTATATCTGTATTTCTAACATATTTCACCCAATAGGGACTAATTTTCTCTTTACTATACTTCAATATATTTATGTGTGTAGACCAGCAATTGTATAAATTAAATCAATTACTACATCTAATACACCAAATAAAGCCTTTCTGCTCTCTGTATAATCATCTATTGCAGAAACCAACTAATGAAAGCACCTGGATGTAAAAACATTTGTATGATGGGATGAAGGTTCAGCTTCCAGCAGGCTGACCCAAAGCAAACTGCTCAAACAACACAAGCGATTTAAGGAGACAGATTTAACTGTGCTGGAGTGTCCTAGTCAAAGCCCAGACTTAATTTCACTTGAAAATCCCAGGCAAGTTTGGAAGATCCGTTTACAGGCAAAAACCAACCAAAACCAAGAATCTTCCAGTGCTGCTAAAAAAGGGCAATGGAAAGAGCAGACTATAGGAAGAAGCTTTTTTTCTTACTTTGGCATATTGCTGTTTGCTTCACAACAAAGAAAATAATACATCTTGAAACCTGTAGACATATTCTGGAAAATAAATGCAGCAAATTTTAATTCCAGGTTGTGAGGCAACAAAAGGGGAAAAATCCTAAAAGGGCCGAGCACCTTAGTAGTTTTAGTATGTTGACTGATTAAGACAAGAATTTCAACACTCAATTTAAGTAGTTTAATACTTAAACAAGAAAGGTTATTGACATACAAATGTCTTGAAAAGAAAATTTAATTTTTTATGTTAACTAAGCATTGGAACATGTCTCTGATCAAGGTTTATCACATGCTATTATTGTTACAGTTTTCAGGTGTTCTACTGAACAATGCGTAGCAAAGCTTCAGGGTTCGCTCGCTGAAGATTTGCCATTAATGACAGCCACCAATCAGAGGGATGGTCCTGAACGCCCTCCTGGAAAAATCATGCTGTGATCAGGCTACTTCCTGCTCCCAGCAGAGGCCTTAAAGAATGACCTGACTTAAGAATGAATACTGCCGTATTTGAAAGTGAGCATCAGTGTTTCCAGCCTGTTATTATTTAATGTCTTTAAGGAGAAAACTGTATTTTCCAAAATCATTGTCATTAGGAGCTATAAGATGGTCTTTTCTGGCTTTGGCAAGTTTCATCAAAAGGAATTCCCTGCGCTCCATCCATTCTCTCAGCTCATGCTCCCCATGAGCCAGTTTACACAAGTCATCCTCTGTGCATGTCCCTTTGAGAAATCTGTTGAAAACACAACATCAAATATCAAAATCTACAGTAGAGAAAACAGGCACCAGGAAGAGACCAGGGCTTTAATCCGATCTTACCTCTCACAAACTTTGAAAGTGCCTGTGGGAAATCTGTACTGCCAGCAGTTCTGATCATCCTCCGAGTTGAAAACTCTTTCTTTGTGTTTCTCTGAAGTGATATGCTGCTGCCACTGCTTCTCACTGTTGCAGTTTTTACCACATAGCCAACAATGATTGCCAGCCTGCAAAAAGGAAAAAAAAAAAAAAAGGTTTTGTATTCTTGTCAATTACAGGGGAAAAACTAAACTACAACTCCAGGCTTGACAGGGTACATTTTACTCGAGAGGGTACAGAATGGGATATTTATTATTTAGAAGTTTACTTCATTACATAAAAGCTGTTGGTTCTCTGTCACCATGGATTATATTTCCAGATTAAACATGCCAGCTGTCAAATTAAACAGGAAGTGTGTGCATAGGGAGCTGGCTCTGCGACTCACCACTTCCTCAGCATAGTCTGTCGGCATGTGGATCTGTTTGCCATTCTCCCTGAAAGAATTATTGGACATCTCTTCACCCCAGCCAGGCTTCTGAGACTGCAGCCACTGCTCATAAAGCTGATCCATATCTGGAACTAGAGAGGGATGTTCCATTAATCTTCTGCATTGCAAAGAAATTACATCTCACTACTGATATCCAGTAAAGTGAGAGATAGTGTTAATAAAAACTCACTGTTGTTTTCTTTCATGTAGGTCCAAAGATCTCTTTCTTCTACGCTGTGAGCAAATGTGCAATTGCCAATGTATTGACACTTCTTCCCTGCTGTCACATGCATGCAAATCTAAAAAACAGACAAAGAATCAGTTACTAATTCATAGGAATCCCTACAAGCAAAATCATTTTCCACACTCAGGCTACTGCAGTATGTAATAATATTGGATGTGTACCTCAAACTGAGATGGGATTGGCTTTTTTGTTGGAAGAGGTCTTACTGGTGTCCACTTCTTCCTTTCATTGGAACTTACAAGCACAACTCTCTTGTCCTTCGCCCACCTGAAACAAATCCACCAATAATGTATTAGGTTATTAGAGCATTAATGAATGTTTCTAAAGATGAAAGAAATTGTAATACTTACGTATGCCGTGCCTTAGCTGTGCAATACTTTTTATTTTTGTCAGCTTCGCTCAGCTGGCCATTTCTCCAGCATTGGCCACAAACAAACATCATCTTCAGATTTGGAGGACCAAATCTTCTCTGGGGATTTGAAAACTAAGGACATAGTTTGAAGACAGTTATTCACTAGAAACCATAAATATACATTTTTAAATTTTTTTACAGAATTACTGGATGCTCTATCAAAAGCACTGAAACCCGACGATGGAATCGGTGTGTTTTGTACCTGAGCTCCTTGCAGGGTAGCTGTTCTATCCCAATACTTTGTTGCCTCTTGAACAATACTTTCATGAGTGATACCTGCACGAAGAAAAGTACTAAGTGAAAACTCTTTTTAAACCATCATTTTTTTTCTTCCAATGAAATAAAGCATGTGCCTGTTTTCATATAGCCTCCAACTCCTGGCTCCCTAATGCCATGCTAATATATGGATACCCTATAAAGCAGGGGTGTCAAAGTGGTTCCAGAAAGGGCTGTGTGGCTGCTGGTTTTCTTTCCACCCAAGCAGTAGCACATCAGACTCCATTCATCCCATCAAGTCATCAGGTTAAGACTAGACTCACCTTGATGGGATGAATAGAGTCTGGTGTGCTACTGCTTGGGTGGAAAGAAAACCAGCAGCCACACAGCCCTTTCTGGAACTAGTTTGACACCTGTGCTATAAAGGTTTAGTGGAGGATTTTCACAATTTTTTTAAAACACTCGCCCACTTCACTATTTTTTTTAAAACACTCGCCCACTCCACTTTAAAAAAAATGCACACGCACAAACCTTTACCAGCTCCCGAGAGGGAGCGCCTATCAAACGCGTGTGAGCATGCACAAGCCCATTACTCCTCGTGAACGCTCCGTTTAAAACTTAGTGTTTGCATTGCTCATACAAGCTTACTTTCCAAAAGAAGATTTGCAATTTTACCACCATGTCTGACTTTGCATATGTAAGTGAAAATGTGGATGAGCACGTAGGACGGCCTTAGGTAAACATATCACAAGAATGATTGACAATTAGGAGGACCACTTATTTTGATGAACCACCTGGAAAAAGAACATCCTCCACTATGCCTTTAAGCATGTTGATATTTTTTCTATAGACATAGACCTTAATAACCTTACAGGGTTCCAGAGTTGGGTGCGGATGGCGGCCGGTCACAGTGAGACTGGTTCTGCTGCATGTTTCTTTCAGTTATAGGTCTTTCTGGTAATTTTCTCAACTGTTACTACATGCTTAGAATGGGGGAGTGTAGAAAGGTCTCTGGACTGTTTCTCTTTCCAGAAAATAGAGAGCTACAAATAAGATCACCCAATGCAGATTGTTGGTTATCCTTAGTATAAAAAGATTGTACTAATGTTCCTAATTAATCGGTCCTTAAAAGCATGATTCAGTACCTTAGACAGGGTTCAAAGGAGTATAATGGACTTCAGATTCTGTCTATTGGATGAGACTGGATCGTTTATATATTTCTGTATATATGTTGGATGATTCATTAAAGTGTACAACAGTAGTAAAAATAACAATATACAATCCCTAAACTAAATGAGGGACAGATAAACAATAAACAATGCAATATTTGTAAGTAGACATGAAATTTAATCACACCACTTTTTTGTGTGTCGTTTTAAAATAAAAATCTAAAAAAGATAAACCGGTATGTTTTCTGCTGCCTGATTTAATCGTATTCAGAAATGCTGTTTGCCATATT